ATTCAATAACTGAGAGAAATAGTTCCTCTACCTATTCAAAATGTGGGAATCTGCAAGCACATCACCATTCTCATCCTTCACTAAGTTACTGCTAGGCTGATAACCCCTCTTAAAGTCATTTATTCCTCTATACAGGTCTCTAATGTTTTTATTCTTACTGTTCATTGCAATATTGTCCACCCACCTATGCCTTGGTCTTCCCAGTGGTCTTTTTCCTTCTGGCTTTCCCACCAATATCCTACATGCATTCATTGTCTCCCCCATTTGTGCTACATGCCCTGCCCACCTCATCCTCTTTGAATTCATCATTCTAATTATCCTCCGAGAAGAGTGCAAGTTATGAAACTCCTCATTATGGAGTTTGCTCCAACCTCCTGTCACTTCATCTCTCTTCAGTTCAAATATTCTCTACAACACCCTCTTCTCAAACACCCTCAGTCTGTGTTCCTCCCTTAATGTCAGAGACCATATTTCACATCCATACAGAACCACAAGCAAAATTATAGTTTTGTATATTCTGATTTTTAAATATATGAACAGCAGGCAAAAAGACAAAAGGTTCTGGACTGAATGGTAGCAAGCATTACCCGAGTTCAATCGCCTCTTAATTTCCTCCTGAATCAGGTTTTGATCTGTTATCATTGTTCCTAAATATCTGAACTGTGCCACATTTTCAAAACATCTGTTTCCTAACTTTGTCATGATTTTCCCCGTGTTTTGGTGACGAGACAGTAACATATACTTAGTTTCCTCAGTGATTACTTCTAGACCAACCTCCTTACTTGTGTCAATTCAAGTTTGTGTGTTTTTCTTTATGGTATCTACATTATCACCCAGTAGATTCACATCATTGGTGTAGACCAAGACACCTACCTCTTAAAATTGCAATGCCTACAAAACAAGGTTGTGTGCTCTGCTGGAAATTTTCTAAGGTGCACACCAGTCTGTGATTCGCACACAGCTATCAACCCTTCCTCTGTATACAATTACATAACAAATTATGCAGACAACAAGCAGGCATCATACAAAGTCAAGAGAATGAACATACATGGTGTGTCCAGGATCCGTTAGAACTCTTTTTTTTATTTTGCCCTGCAATGCCATCTGTTGGTGAGTTGTGGCCTTAAGATTCTTGAAGTTTCAGCTGTGGCTGTCTATAATTTCAAGCATCTCTGCATCATGTGTTCTGACCTTGAATGTAACGGTACTGTTCTGACACTCGTCAGAAAAAGGTGGTTGAACAGAGAGCCAACATCAAATTTTGTTTGAAGTTAGGCAAAACAGCCAGACAAGCGTAAAAATGATGAAAAATGTGTACTTTAATGATTGTTTGAAGCGCTCAAACATTTATCAATGGTATGCTGTATTTCGTGACAGCAGGGAGGACATTGAAGACGCTCCACATGCATCAAAGCGGAGAACAAGTCGCACTGAAGAGAATGTGAAAAAAAAAAAGTGACCGAAATCTTTGCATCAGACAGATGTGTTTCTGCAAGACTCATCGAGGAGCTTTTGGGAATACCAAAAAGTA